ATATGAGTATGACGATAAACTACATCCGCATCCTGGGTAAGACAATAAACTACATCCGCATCCTGGGTAAGACAATAAACTACATCCGCGTCCTGGGTAAGACGATAAACTACGTCCAACAGCAAGGTCTCTGATCAGGAGATTTTGAGGAGCGTGGAACCACCTCTTAATTGCTGGCGTTCCCAGGTTCACCTTGACCCGCGGTGGTAGCACTTTTTAGGGTCCCAGCTATGGGCAAATAGTTGACACCCAAACTTAAGCGTAAAAATAGTTTTTATTAACAGGAATACTTTGTAATAAAAAAATATTACCAGCAATAATTTTTGAAGGAAAAATTATTATCAGCAATAAAAAAGTACCAGCAATACAAACAGCTACACATTCTTTGAAAAAAATGTTATCAGCTATAGATTTCTTCAAGGAAATAGATCTTTGAAGAAAAACATTACCAACAATAAACATTTTTTCGGCAGTAAATAACCTGTTGAGGTTGATATACCGTAAAACAAACCAGACCAAACATTGAAGTCAGAGCTTGGAAGACGGTTTCTAATGGATGAGAAGAGAAAGTTTTATAAAACAAATTCACCTTGTACAAGGCCAAAGAGACATTCGAAATAGAGGATTACATAATAAGAGGTGTTAGGAACAGTTTATGAGAATATGTAGGGAGATCTCTATTTGTATGTTCATTTGGTACACTGATATCAACAGAGTAACTATACGATTTCGTATTGGAAAGGTATGCAATTTCTTGGAGTTGTTTGATAACCTATATGCCATCATTACACAACTTACCAGAAGGAAAATCAAATAGAGCTGTGAGTTGTTGACTTTCATAGAGCCTAGTTCTTACAATGTTCACAGCTCCCTGGTATATGCAGATGCGGGATCTGCCGTATAAATAGATCTCTCCATCGTATTCAATAAATGATCAAACGGACTCATCGTTCGTCGGAAACAACCATAAAACTAACTACGAGGCGTCGTCCTAGTAGAATGAGCCGTTTTGGGCGGTGTGCCTATCCGCAATTGCGTGCACCCGAACAGTAAGCAAAAGAGGGAAGAGATTACATGTCAATGACGTGTTTAGTTGAACAAGGGAACCCAGTTCCATCCCACCGATTATGGAATCACCAGCAGCCCGTGCGATGTCTTGTTACACAACCGATGTCTAAGATCATATGGAGTCGTTACAACACTCAAAACCTACTATCAGTCCTGTTATAAGACACAGTGAAGTTCTATGTGCTGGGTCACGGTGTAAACAGGTACAACCACGTGACACTTCTGCTTCTATAACACGTGCAGGATAAAGACCTCTGACCTTGCCTACTGGATATGCACCCGTTAACTCCAAAGATTTATTAGTAAAGTTCACCTCCTACAATGCCCATGAGCCACTCAAAGTAAAGAGCGATTGAATGGGGTTTGGCATATGAACATAAGAAATGCCGTACATGAGTTGTCGGAAAAATATCGGATTTCTGAAATGTAAATAGTGTACATAATACCTCATCTCAGAAATATAGATCCTCGAGGACACATGGTACAGTGGATAAAGGCATTGGTTAGATCCATTGACAGGAACCAAAGAGTGTGAGTTCAATACCTGCTTAAGGCAGTGGAGAACTTAGTGAAGGGAATCAACAGGAGATAACTGATAACTGACATCCATTAGACATGGCACGTGGAACTAGAACAAAACCAGGAAGCGAAATAAGGGGTTCAGTTCGACATTCCAACCACCTGAAGAAGGCCGGAGCGCATAACGGCCGAAACTTTGTGATAAATGTGACAACAAAGATGAAGACAATAATTCGAATAATGTAAATTGTGATTGTCACTTAGTATGTAAGCGAAACAGGCTTGAGTGATCTGATGTGATTATTGGAAGGTCGCAGCTAAGTATCATATTAAAATAAAGAATAAAAATACGAGAAAGATAGAAAAGAGAATTTAGGAAGAAAAGCAAGGAGAATGTGGAAAGTAAGACATATAGCTAAATCATTGCGAGATAAGCTGCTAGAGAAGTTGGTTCACTGTGTCGGGCGAGACAATTTTTCCTCTCCGAAATCTTTCTTACATATCTATAAGTCTACCATTCGTCCATGCTTAGAATATTACTGCCATATATGGTCCAGTGCCTCTGCTATTTACTTGGAGATCCTTGATAAAATCCAAAGAAGAATCGGCAATATTATTGGTCCTGATCTGGCGGCTCAGCTTCAGTCCTTTACCCACCGCCATAGAGTTGCTTCTCTGTGCCTTCTTTTTATAAATACTTTTAAAATAATTGTTCGGATGAGCTCTTTGCTATGAATTTAAGCGCAATTCTTATCTATTTACAGTTGAGCTAACCAGATGTGGCCGTAACTTCTATGCTAACAGTTCTCACACTCCCCGTTTTCCAGCGAATTTTAATCTGCAAAAGTAAATACGATTTCAATCGCTATCTACTATCCTCCTGATTGCTCTTTTAAAAGACAATCCTGCAAGTGTTTCACAGGAGAGTTCTTTAAATTTTTGAATTTCGCGTAACTATACAAAATTTCAGTTTTGTTTATCATCACTTGTCGGATGGCGAAACGCGTCGGCAAAACCTAACTACTGTTTTCCTATTGTCTATTTTATTCAATTTCTACAGATATATGCTGAGAACTTGCACACATACACAGACACACACACACACACACCCAAAAAATCTATATTCTCTGACCTAAGGGAAGGAGTCAATGTTGAATTGAGAGCAAGAGGCTGTTTATACAATCAGCAACGTTTTAAAGCCGAATCGAAATTGGTCTGCAACTGGTACGCAAACTTCACTTTGCAGATGATGCTGCTCCATTAGCACACAGTCTTGAAGAATTCTCTGAGACAGCGAAAGCATTTGGTTTCACTATTAACATAAAGAAGACTGAGCTAATGTACCCGCCAGTACAAGGCAATCCGTATTTCACAAATTCTTCCCTTTGCTATGATGGTACAGCATTAAAAACTGTTGAGTCATTCACATGAATAAACAGTCTCTTTTGATGTAAAAATGAACAGAGAGATCCAATCCAACGTCAGTACATTATTCGGTAAACTTGAACATAGGTTATGGAACACCAAAGACGTGTCTCTCAGACTAAAGATCGACATATACAGATCAGTCATTCTTTCAGCCCTATTCTAAGGTGATAAAATTTGGACCCTGTTACCGCAAGCACATAAATCAATTTGACGGCTTTCACGTGCGCTGCCTTCATGCCATATGTCTTATAAAATAGGATGACAGTCAAGAACAGTGGAAAAGAAATGTAAAACATCACAGATAATGAAACTATTCTAGCAAAGATACAACTTGTGGAGGGCTGGTCATGTTGTGAGAATGGATGGCTATATTCTTGCAAAAAGTCCAAGCGTTCAGTTGCACGTCCACTCTTATGCTACAAAGACAAGTTGAAAGACAACTTGAAACGTCTCGTCTTTGATCTGAAAACCTGGTAAGTGCAAGCATCGAAAGGAGTCGCATGACATGTTTTGTTAAGTAAAAGGGTTTTGAAGACGGTAGACTAAAGCAACGTGATTGGCTTCGTCAAGCTCTGAAGCAGAGACGCCATCAAAATCCTGATTCAACAAATTTCATCTATCAATGTGGCTTTGTTGCCCGCAGCAAGGCTCAGCTAGTATCGCTCTTATGTCTTTCCCTTACCTGATTTTCTCCACAATAGACCTAGCTAGCATGCAAAAGGGTAAAGCGAAAGGCACCATCCACAAGAGCTGACCTTCATTTTCTCGAGCAATAGGAGAGTCCATTATTTATATATATATATATATATATATTTAGTTGGATTGATGTGAGTTTGTGACTCTGGGTTTCTGCCTCTGAGATCGTCTGACGAAACCCAGTGTCATAAACTCACATCAATCCAAGTATGTTAGCTCTATCACTGATAGTGAGCGCTTTCCAATAAGTACCTCGAATATATAATATATAAATAATATATACAAAAATTACACACACATATATACACATACATACATATATATATATATATATATATATATATATATTTATAAAGAGAGAGAGAAAGAGAGCAGAATTGAAGCAAGACATAGAGAGAAAAGATTGTTGTTGGTTGTTTTGTTTTATGGTACATCAACGTCAGTGGGTCATTTAATACCAGCAATTTTTTTTAAATAGATACATAGCAATAGTTTGGTAAAAAAAGATGTATATGTATACATATATATCTGAACCATTTTTCAATTAATCTTATTTTTGAGTACAATCACATGTATTGCTGGTAATTTTTTTTCAAAAACGTATTGCAGGTAATATTTTTTTCAAAAATTATTTTCTGGTAATAATTTTTTTTCAAAGTATGGCTGGTATTAAAACCTATTTTTACACTTTTATAATGCTTTTTACCTCAGTTTCGCGGTCAACTATTTACCCATAGCTGGGACCCTAACAAGTGCTACCATCCCGAGTCAGGGTGAACCTGGAAACACCAGCAATTAAGAAGTGGTTCCACGCTCCTCGAAACCTCAGAGGCCTTGCTCTTGGACGTAGTTTATCGTCTTACCCTGGACGCGGATGTAGTTTATCGTCATACCCAGGATGAGAGAAAAAGAGAGAGATACAAAAGACTGAGAATAAGAAATGAAAAAGAGAAAACTTATTCAAATATGTCACAAGAGATGAGCAATTAGCAGAAGAAAAAAATGATTGATTGTTTGTTCGTTCGTTTTTGTATTGTGATATACCATCCTCTATTCAGTAGCGAAATGTGTATATATTTTATGCAATTTTATTTTATTTTGGGCAATAATAATGGTTTAGTGACACAAGTTTTACTAATTAACCCATATCTGGGGAGATGAGGTGGATTCATGCCTTTACCAAGAGTATTTGCGCACAGGTGAATATAACGAACCGAACTGAAATTGGAACACGTCTCTCCGTTTAACAATCCCGATCCATTATCCATCACCCCACCTACACATCTATGCTTACAGCACCTGGTATTCCCAAGGCGTCACGCATCTAGGTACTGACCAGGCTCGACGTTGCTTAACTTTGGTGATCGTAAGAGAACCGGTGTTTCTATGTAATGTGACCGTAAGCCAGGAGGATGGTGACAATCAGGTGAAAGAGGAAAGGAAAGAGAGCGAGAATCAGAAATGATTGTATTACTAACGGAACTGGAAGAAAGTTACAGAGTGAGAGAGAAAGAGGGAGAAAAAGAGAGAGACGGAGAAAGAGAGAAAGAGGAAGAGAGAGGGAAGGAGAGGGATAGAGAAAGAAGGGGAGAAGCAGAGAGAGAAAGAGAAAGCGAGGGAAAGAGAGGGAGATAGAGAAAGGATAGTGGAAGAGAAAGAAAGAGAAAGAAAGAAAGAGGAAGAGAGAGAAAGAGAGAGGGAAAGAGAGAGATAGAAAAAGAAGAAGAAAGAGAAAGAGAAAGCGAGGGAAAGAGAGAGCTATATAGAAAGAAGGAGAGGGGAAGAGAGAGAAAGAGGGAAAGAGGAAGAGAGGGAAAGAGAGAGATAGAAAAAGGAGGAGAGAAGAAGTGAGAGAAAGAGAAAGCGAGAGCGATAGAGAAAGAAGGAGAGAGGAAGAGAGACAAAGAGAAAGAGGAAGAAAGAGAAAGAGAAAGGGAGAGATAGAAAAAGGAGGAGAGAAGAAGAGAGAGAAAGAGAAAGAGAAATCGAGAGCGATATAGAAAGAAGGAGAGAGGAAGAGAGAGGAAGAGAAAGAGGAAGAGAGAGAAAGAGAGAGATAGAAAAAGGAGGAGAGAAGAAGAGAGAGAAAGAGAATACGAGAGCGATATAGAAAGGAGGAGAGAGAAAGAGAGAGGGAAAGAGAGAGATAGAGAAAGAAGGAGAGAAGAGAGAGAAAGAGAAAGCGAGGGAAAGAGAGAGCGATAGAGAAAGAAGGAGAGAGGAAGAGAGAGAAAGAAGAAGAGAAAGAGAGAAGGAAAGAGAGAGATAGAGAAAGAAGGAGAGAAGAAGAGAGAGAAAAAGAAAGCGAGGGCAAGAGAGCGCGATAGAGAAAGAAGGAGAGAGAAAGAGAAAGAGGGACAGAGAGAGAAAGAGGAAGAGAAAGAAAGATAGAAATAGAGAAAGGGATAGAAAGAGAAAGAGAAAAACAGAGAAAGAGCAAAATTCCTTGGAGAGCATCAAGACCTGCCAGATTCCTTAGAGAAACAGACGCGAGAATGTTCGGGTTCCTGCCTTAAATGTCAAAAGGCGAACGAAGTGCAATAATATCTGAATGTGGTTCTGCTTTAATAGTTAATATCTGTCGCCAACAATACCGATCAGCTAAAGAGTTACAAATCCGACTTTAATAAAAACCGGACATTCAGACCCAGATATCATCTTCTTCGCTACTGACACTGAACTTTGACCTGAAACTAATAGCTTTTCGTCACCAATGGATGACATCTTTTCGACTAAACGACCTTTGGCGTTTTCAGGTTCAAATTACGAAAACGCTGGCCACTTCAAGCAAACTCGAGCGACAACATTTTCTCTAAATTGCGCTCTGTCACTCATAGAACACTGTCATAAGATTCGGTATGTTTATCATTCCATTCCCGTCTATGTCGCTCATTCCCCCGAAGCAACTCCACTTAAAATTCTTTCTGTGCCTATATTAATTTTGTATTCTCAATTTATAACAGTTTACTGGTGCTTTACTTAGTCTGGTGTGCGCACGTGGCCGAGTGGTTAGAAGGTTTGCATTCTGACTATGAAAACCGAGTTCTAATCTCACTATGGTCGATTTGTCAGTAAAGAGACTGATGTTATCGGAGGGGTCGATCCCAGCGTGAGGCACCGTTGGAAAGTGCCCGAAAACCATATCACGGGTTGACCCAAGACGTGTGAGTGAAATTGGGTAGACAACAACATTTGGGTCACAAGTCATCGTGACCGAGGGTTTGAATGTGCTGATCTTGATCAAATTGTTGATCACGCTAGATAAAATGCTTTTTCCCAGAAACTGTAACTAAGGTCTGCTCAGCATAGTTGCAGTATAAACCACAGGTGGGTTCTGTGAATGAACCCAAATGCGCCTGTGCAAGCGTCTGCAATCGGGATTGGCTAGCCGCGCTAGTAGACAGGTATCCTCGAATACGAGTTGCCAGCTATTCATAATTACATATACTTAGTCTGGTACAAGGTAGTAAAATATTTACAGTGGTATCATACCACTAGTGTAAAATCCAGACCCCCAAATGGAACACGCTCAAGATGCTGGAAAAATGAAGCTGCCTGCACTTACCATGTTCTAACTTTAAAAGAGTCAGATCAGACCAGAAATAGAATACTGCCGCCATAACTGAGATGGATCTAGCTCAAGTTTTTACGCAGTCTTATGGGTGATGAATTATTTTCTGCCTTGCATTCTTGCTTTATCACTGAAGCAAGATCGCATGCCTATCGTTAATCAATCTATGGAATATCACCTGACGGGAGGCACGGTGGAGTAAGGAGTAATGGATAGCGGCTTGGATTGAGTAATTGGAGAGCCGAGTTCGAATTCCAGTCGAATCCATTACACTCACTTACGTGCTAATACCCTTGGGAAAGGTGTGAATCCTCTTCTTCTCCCTCCAGCTATGGGTAAATAACAGGACAGACTGGGTTCTATAGCCTTGGATGGCAACTGGTCTAGGAGAAGGAAAACTCTGAATTCAAAACCTGCGAAAGGGCGTTTGGTGGCCTTGTGGCACGTAGTGCACCAGGTCTCTGTATTCGGAACCTTCAAAAAGTGTGGATGGTCCGGCACGAAACCTTCAAATCTCATGTGCTATACATGCGGTTGGGGACCGCTTGTGAATTCCAAATTCCCATGAAATTCCAATATTGGAGCCGGCTCAACCCACCCCGGGTGAATGCCGTTACAGGTACGGGTATATCATCTGACGGGGTACAGTCCTTGGTTGCAACAGTTCCATGCAATGCACACAAGAGCCAACTATCCAAATTCCAATTCCCTCGGTAAGAAGAAAATTCTTTTCGGACAGCTATTTCCCAAGAGGATCTCCTTTATACAACAGATTCCTGAGAAATATGCTTCCATGTCCACGGCAATCATAATGTCTAGTATTAACAGTTAACTAATCCATATAATCCTTAAAATGTACAATACAAACGATACAATTCAGTTACCATTTATTTTGAGTGGGTATAGAGCCCTGCATTGGGTGAGCAATAGCGTACAAGATTAGGCTGTCTAAATTGAGTTCGTCTTAAAGATATAATACTACAAAATTTTTGAATTTTTCTACTTGCGATTCTTAAATAAGCTAATGAGAGAAAAAATCCCTGTAAAATATAGTAGCAATTTTCTTTTAAATGTTGCCGAGATCGCTACTTGAATCTTGCAAACTTAATCCTAACTTCTCGGTGGGTCTCTCATCTCAATACTAACGAGAGCCGATATTTATAAGGCTTCTTTGAACACAGAAGAGCTTGCAGCAATATTACGGTGAAATATCGCTTCTTATCAGATCACCGAACTTAAGCAACGTCGAGCCTCAAGTTGACGAAGACAATCGGAAAGAATTCGCTCCTCCACTTCGTCTTTATGTCACCACACACAAACGACTATAATTCACCTGCAGGTAATACCTGATCTCATCACTGAACTCTAAAACTCACCGTTCGATAAATTGGGAATGTATCTGGTGATATCCGTTATCATATTCCCATGAAAATCTTGCTGCAACCACCAGCAATCTGTCGGCCTTGTGCAAGTAGCCAATTCCTTTTGTGAGCATTATATTAGGTTTCTCTTCGAGAGCGACTCGTGTCATGTAATTCAGCACTACCTGCATTTGCCGTGTTATCTTCAACTAAAACGGTTCCCCAACCAGACTAGACACACAGCCGAATGAGAACAAGTCCTGTCAAAGAGTGGATACATGTTCTTGCAGAGACAACGGTCATCTTAGCAAAATGAGTTATGTATGCTACCATTGTGGCGATGACATGAGATAGCTCTGTAAAGTGCCACTAAAAAAAGTAATCAATGGCTAGAGTTGCAGGCTCTCTGGATGGTGACCGGAATCTTTACTTTGGTCGACTGTTGATTGAGTTGGATACTTGGACAAAAATGGGCACCGCCTACTTATCCAACATACGCTACACAGGAATGAATACGTGTCCGACTTTCAAATATGACTGGGTAACTCGTCGAGTGCTCAGCTGCATCCCATCCTTAAGTCCAAACCTGTTCATGGGGCTGGTGATAATGAATGTTCCGTTGGCATTCGAGGGGTGGTAGCTATATTTGCTCTGATCTGTACTTTACCAAGCGTCTGTATATTGTGGCAATTCATAATCTAGTCTAATAATAGGACAGTTTTTATGTGATAACTCTTGCTAACAGTGAGGTATAACCAATGCTCCATGTCCAGCAATTCGTCAAAATAAGAGTTCGCATCCTCTAACGGCTGTAATTGATGTTTACAGAACATATGTGAATATCGATGACACCTGCTTGCACTGGACACTTTCGCCATATTGAGCATTATCGAAGTATTTGTAACAGTCTAAAGCAGAGTTATAATTGCTGCACTTTTATGAGTGTTAATATATAACAATTTTTTACAGTGAAGTTCACCCTATACAAACCCGAAAGCCACTCAAGGTAGAGGGTTACAGAGTAATAGATACAGTTTATGTTAATATGTGGGGAAGATAACGCTGAACCTTAGGCTTCAGCTGGTTAAGATTGTACTAATCGGGAAAACATCCCTTTGGGAGTCGATTCCAGAGAGCAGTGCTTCCAGAGATGAAGTTGCTTGTGTGGAACTTACTTCTTACTGCCCAAACTGCAACCCCCTTGATTATTATGTGTGGGAGCGAGAAACCAACAAAATTCCTTGTAACACCAAAGATGAACTGAAGGCAAGGATTATGGCAGCATTCGCCAACTTATACAAGGAGACCGTCCAGAAGAGTTGTAGATGATTCCGTAGTCGCTAGATGCCGGAGTTGAAGCCAATGGCGATTTTATTGAATAAATTTACTCTTCAGTATTTCATGGTATTTTTTGTGTAATTTCGGCAAATATATCTCTTAACAGAGATGCCCGTGTTATTTTCATTCTTG